CTCCCCCCTCCACCACCCCACCACCTCCCCCTCACCACCACCACCTCCCCCCTCACCACCTCCTCCCGGGACGCAGTGAGAGCCACAACTTACGTGGGCCGAGGAATGGAATCCGAAGTGGCAGGAGGAGGAGGAGGAGGTGCGCAGCAGAACCCCATTCAGGCTGCCACCACTACCATCACACAACCCCTACCCTCTTCCTCCTCCCTTCTATCCCTCCTCTTTATCCCTCCCTCTCTTCTCCCTCCCTCTTCTATCCCTCCTCTCTTCTCTCTCCCTCCCCTCCCTCCCTCCCTCCCTCCCCTCCCCCTACATCTTGTGCTGTGATTAGGTTAAGTTGGCTACGTTACGTTGGGTTAGGTTTGGTTACGTGTAGTTAGGTTAGGTTAGGTTATAGGGTAGAGTACATGTTATGATGAAGGTGGGTTGGGTTATATGGTTACACCATATAGTTGACTATAGTCCCTATCTCTGACGACTAGAGTGGGGGAGACGATGTGTGTGATATTGTACAATATAATATTTGTATATGTATCTACGTACATACATAATAGAACCTACAGTACATACAGAGACAGATACATACATACATACATACATACATACATACATACATACATACATACATACACACACACACACATACATACAAACCTACTGGTATAACACACAACACCAGGTAGAAGGTCAACACGTGCCACTAAACTAAGAGATGGAGGAGGGAGGGGCCAGAGTGAAGCCCTACAAAACATAAACAAACAGGTAGTAAACAATGTCACGTGGGCGCCTCCTCCAGTCAGCTGATCCCCCTCCCCTTGTTGTTGTTGTTAGTCTCTGTTCCTCCCTGCAGATGGCGTTGCTAGCTCTCTGTGTGTCACCGTTGGGTAAAATTGCACTTGATCACACGATGATAGACCTTATTTTACTGAGATTAACTAACGTAAACTATTCCTAACAAACCCAACCTAACCTAACCTAACCCAACCTAATATAACCCAACCTCACTAGCCTTACCTTAGGGCAGGATAGTGTGTGTGTGTGTGTGTGTGTGTGTGTGTGTGTGTGTGTGTGTGTGTGTGTGTGTGTGTGGAGTACTGTCAGCGGGCATCATGGTGGAGGAGGGACAGTTAATGGGGGGGGGATCAGGTTCGTCCTCAATCAGACAGACTGACTGACAGACATGCAGGCAGACTGACATGCAGGCAACAGGCAGGTGGGGTGATGGTTAAGACGTAGTGGGTGAGGAGGGGGAGAGGTGAAGGCATTTAGTGGAGAGAGAGAGAGAGAGGTGAGATAGAAGAGAGAGAGAGAGAGAGAGAGAGAGAGAGAGAGAGAGAGAGAGAGAATATGTGTATTTGAGAGAGAGCGTGTGAGATGTGAGAACGAGTATGTGTATGTATGTATGTATGTATGCATATATGTATGTATGTGAGAGAAAATTCCGATTCAGATAAAATTTACCCCACGCACATCACTACGTCATCGCTAGGGGGACCTTGAATGTGACGCACCAGCCTTGTGTGTGTGTGTGTGTGTGTGTGTGTGTGTGTGGCAAGAAGTCATATCGGTATAAACATCTCAAAAAAAGATTTAAATTCAAACTGATTTATATAGACATCTGTAACAAGCACAGGTGTCCGCCGTACAGGTGTGTGGCTTGATTAATTAACTCAGGTGTAGATATAAAATGCAGTTACAGTAAGTCATTTCCCCCATGGTTACAGTTACAGTTAAGGTGGATACAGTCGTGACCTCGTATCCGGAACCTAACCTAACCTAACCTAACCTAACCTAACCTAACCTAACCTAACCACCAGAAACGCGCATACATACATACATACATACATACATACATACATACATACATACACACATACACAGGATATATACACGCCCATTAATTTCCGGCCCCTGACTCGGAACTGTGTGGCCCAAATACTCGCAATAAAACACAGGAAGTTAGGTTAAGTTAGGTTAGGTTAGGTTAAGCTATATTAGGTTAAGTTAGGTTGAGAAGTTAAGTTAGGTTAGCTTAAGTTAGGTTAGGTTAAGCTATATTAGGTTAAGTTAGGTTGAGAAGTTAAGTTAGGTTAAGTTAGATTAGGTTAAGTTAGGTTGAGAAGTTAAGTTAGGTTAAGTTAGATTAGGTTAAGTTAGGATACGTTACGTGACTCAGTGCAAGTGTTTTACGATGCTTGTTAACATTACTACAACAACCATCAGTCATGTCGTCAACAGTGAAGCTCCGTCTTACCTCAGTATTCCTCTTGGCTTTTCTTATCTCGGTCTTAACCCTACTGGCCAATACCTTATAATAATCTCTGAGGTAAGCTTCACCATGATTTAGTCTCCTTCCTATAGCTTTCCTTTGACCAATATTATTCTTTAAATAATTGATTATTTATCCATTTGGAGTCATTGTTGTTTGATCTGAGTTTTCCGTATGGTATGTTCTGCCTTTGTGCATTAAGTAACTCATTATTTAAATTGTTGTGAAACTCTTCAACCTCAGATCTCGTGATCAGATCATCCTCAACCGTCATATTTTGTGAGGTTATCGTTGTCAGGTCTCCAGGTACAGTGAGGTCGCCCTCTGTGGGTACATTGTGTGGGGTCACCTCACGTGAGGTCATGTAATTCACCCCCAAACGTAATACCCCTTCTCTCAGCTGCCTTTTCAACCTATCAATGTTTGCCTTTCTGAAATCTGGGACTTTAATAAAATTTTCCTTGTGACTGCCAATAAATTCTAATTGGAATCTCAGTTCTTTGTGATCGCTGTTAGCAAGTTCGTTCCCTACCTCAACATTACTGATGGTGTTTTCTCTGTTTGACAGAACTAATTCAAGTATATTATTACCCCTGGTGGGTTCGACTATGTTAACTTAGGAAACAGTCCTGAACTGTTTAAAAAAAAATCCTCTGATTCTGAGTTACCCGTGAGGGCGGTCCAATCTATTGGGCTAAAGTTAAAGTCGCCTACTATACAGACTTTGCTTTGTCTGGAAGCTCTGTGCATTTCATCCCAAATAAGTCGTTCATTAACTCTATCAAGATTAGGAGGTCTATATTGTCATGGGTTGCGTTTGGCTTACCCACGCAACCAACTCCAAAGTTTGTTTTACTAGAGATAAGGCACCCGGCGAGGCATAACTGGGACAGGTATTTTCCATTAATGGTATGTTAGCCAGTCTTTAGGGGGAGGCCAGTGAGACAGTGTTGTACTGTTCATCACATCACACCCAAAAACCTCACTTTAAGTTGTATCTCATTGGCTATGGGTTAGTCAAGACGCCACCTCCTCCCTCCTGAAGGGAACGGGACACCACACAAGGGTCCTCCACCGCCACGCCGTCCTGTGGACCGTCGTCGACACGAGACTAAGCGTGTTAACCTAGGTTGTTATCCCCGTGGAAATATCACGTGTGGAAGCCTGGTTGCGACAAGAGCAATCCAGGCTGGCCTATCAAACCTACAGTAAATGGTTAATTAATTCACGCTTAGAGTTCTCCTGCACGACACCCGTCTACAGTGACCGTGATCGACACGAGACTAAGTGTGTTAACCTAGGTTTGTTCCCCGTGGAAATATCACGTGTGGAAGCCTGGTTGCGACAAAAGCAATCCAGGCTGGTCTATTGCACCTAAGTGGCTAATTCAAGTCACGCTTACCAGTTCTCCTGCACGACACCCGTCCAGTGACTGTCAGTGACGCGAGACGATGTGTGGTAACCCAAGAGTACTTTTTGTTGTTATTCCCCGTGAAAGAAGTTCTTGTGATGAAGCCTGGTTTGCAACAAGAGCAATCCAGGCTGGCAGTAAATGTATCACTTGAAGAATTAAGGCTCTGTTAAGTCACACCCATAGTAGAGTAACCACATGTGTCCCCAAGTTGAAAATTCTCTTTTAGAAGATTAAATTTATTACAGCGTGAACGTGAGTGAATCATATATCCATGCAAATTGTAAATCATTGTATGGAAGCTTGACAAATAAATGTAAGTGCAATTATCTGCCCGTACCTGTGATCCTATCTTATTATTACTCAAGGTAATGACTGATTGGTTATGACAAAGTATAACCAATAACTTAGATGGATGTTGGAAATTAATGGAATTCATTAAATCATCATTTATCAAGTATAAATCATGGAATGTCGAGTGGTGGAGTGAACTTCTACGTAGATACGCCATAATCTCCTGTAAGTACCAGTGTGAAGGTATCGAACGCTACGGTAAGAAATACGACATATTATTATCTTTATATAATATAATCCACTCTGACTACCACTACGAAAACCCAAAACCATGACATATATATTACTCCTGTCATTAATTTTCCCCACCATCGATTAATTCTATCCATATTGGTTCTGTATTCGGTTAAGTTTTTATTTCCTTATTTATTTCACACTTCAGATTATCCCTGACGTAGTTTGCCTCCTTTCCTAATCTGCCTTCACCTGTTCTTACTTCATCCTTCTCTTTCACCTCCTCCTTCCTTCATCCTCCTCCTCTTTACCTCACCCTTTTTCCTTCTTCACCCCTTCCTTCCCGTCGTCCTCTGCTTCCTCCTTACCTCATCCATCACCTCTTCCTTACCCCATTCCCCCTCCTTTCTTCCCCCCACTCCCTCCTCTCCCCGTGTACCCCTCCAGGTGAGAGTCGTGGCTCCTGATGTCACCTACAGAGAAAATTGCTTGAGAATAAACTTGTGTGTGTGCCGAGCAGTTATCACGTAGTTATCTGCCGTCAAATAAGTGGGGGAGGGGAGGTGCCAGAGTCGGCAGTAGTGACGTCAAGGCGCGCGTTGACGACATTGCTGGCTCTCTTATTTATGGCTCTCAGGTGTTAATGGTGCCATTCTCTCTGGGGGGGGTGCAGGTAAAAAACGATCAATTGTTTGTCCAGACTTTGAGCTCCATGAAACAGTTTGGAGGCAGAAAACATGAGGAACAGTGTTGTCTAGTTATATTATATTGAGAAAAATAAGGAAGGTGAGGTCAGTGGTCTCCAGTATCCGGGTTGTCGATGACTATCTCACATTTAGTTGTGATATTAATGTCTATCGTTTCAAAGTCGTCGTCATCCACCACCTGCTGGCCCGACCCAGGAACCTGCTGCTGGCCCGACCCAGGAACCTGGTGCAGGCCCGACCCAGGAACCTGCTGCTGGTCCGACTCAGGGATCTGCTGCTGGCCCGACTCAGGGATCTGCTGCTGGCCCGACCCAGGAACCTGCTGCAGGCCCGACTTAAGGACCTGTTGCTGGCCCGACTTAAGGACCTGTTGCTGGTCCGACCCAGGAACCTGCTGCTGGCCCGACCCAGGAACCTGCTGCAGGCCCGACTTAAGGACCTGTTGCTGGCCCGACTTAAGGACCTGTTGCTGGTCCGACCCAGGAACCTGCTGCTGGCCCGAATTTAAGGACCTGTTGCTGGGTCTGACTTAAGGACCTGCTGCCCACCCAGAACCTGCTGCTGGCCTGGACCGCAGGGACCCGTTGCTGGCCCGGACTAAGGACCTACAGCGGTTCTGAACCCAGAACCTGCTGCTGGTCCGACCCAGGAACCTGCTGCTGGTCCGGGACCCAGGAACCTGCTGCTGGCCCGACCCAGGAAACTGCTGCTGGCCCGACCCAGGAAACTGCTGCTGTCCATTCCAGGGATTCTGCTGCTGACCTGACCAGGAACCTGCTGCTGGCCCGACTCAGGATCTGCTGTCCTGACCCAGGAGCTGCTGCTGGCCCGACCCAGGACCTGCTGCTGACCCGGACCCAGGAACCTGCTGGCCTGACTCAGGGATCTGTTGCTGGCCTGAAGGGAGCTAAGCGCTGGCCTGACCAAGGGACCTGCTGCTCCCGCGACCCAGGGACCTGGTTGGCCTGGACTTAGGGCTCCACCTGCTGGCTCCGGAATGGACCCCAAGCCTGGACTTAGGGCCACACCCTGCTGGCCCGCTGACCTGGGGGACCTGCTGCTTTTCCCTCTGACCTAGGACCCAGTTGCTGGGTCTGACTAAGGACCTGTTGCTGGTCTGACTTAGGGACCTGTTGCTGGCCTGACCCAGGGACCTGTTGTTGGTCTGACCCAGGGCTCCTCCTGCTGGCCTGACTTAGGACCTGCTGCTGGGGCTCCGACCCAGGGACCTGCTGGCGGCCCGAACCAGGGACCTGCTGCTGCTGGCCCGACCGAGTGGACCTGCTGTTGGCTCCGACTGATGGTCTGCCCACTAGGACCTGCTGCTGACCTGACTTAGGGACTCTGTTGCTGGCCCGACCCAGTGACCTTTCTGGCCTGAGCCGGGGGACCTGCTGCTGACCTGACTTAGGGACCTGTTGCTGGCTCGACCCAGTGACCTGCTGGCCCGACTCAGGGACCTGCTGGCCTGACTTAGGGGCCACCTGTTGGCGCGACACAGGGACCTGCTGGCCCGACCTAGGGACCTGCTGGCCTGACTTTGGGGCCACCTGCTGGGTCTCTCTAGATGATGAGTGGAAGGGAGGAAGGATCTCTCTAGAGGATGAGTGGAAGGGAGGAAGGATCTCTCTAGAGGATGAGTGGGAGGAAGGAAGGATCTCTCTAGGGGATGAGTGGAAGGGAGGAAGGATCTCTCTTGAGGATGAGTGGAAGGAGAAGGGCTCCTCTAGAGTATGAGTGGGGAGGAAGATCTCTAGGAGGAGAGTGGAGGAGGAAGGATCTCTAGAGTAGGGAGTGGGAAGTGGAGGTGATCTCTCAGAGGATGAGGAAGGTGGAGGAAGGATCTTCAGGAGGATGAGGAAGGAGGAAGGATCTCTAGAGGATGAGGGAGGAGGAAGGATCTCTAGGAGGATGAGTGAAGGAGGAAGGGATCTCTAGGAGGATGAGTAAAGGGAGGAAGGACCCTCAGAGGATGAGTGGGAGGGAGGAAGGATCTCTCTAGAGGATGAGTGGAAGGGAGGAAGGATCTCTCTAGGGGATGAGTGGGAGGGAGGAAGGATCTCTCTAGGGGATGAGTGGGAGGGAGGAAGGATCTCTCTAGAGGATGAGTGGGAGGGAGGAAGGGTGTCTCTGGAGGATGAGTGGGAGGAAGGGAGGATTCCTAGAGGATGAGGGAGGGAGGAAGGATCTCTAGGGATGAGTGGGAGGGAGAAAGGATCTCTAGAGGATGAGTGGAAGGAGGAAGGATCTCTAGAGGATGAGTGGAAGGGAGGAAGGATCTTTAGGAGTAGGAGTGGAGGGAGGAAGGATCTCTAGAGGATGAGTGGGAGGAGGAAGGATCTCTAGAGGATGAGTGGAAGGGAGGAAGGATCTCTCTAGAGGGAGAGGAGGAGGAAGGATCTCTAGAGGATGAGGAGGAGGAAGGATCTCTAGAGGGTAGGGAGGGAGGAGGAAGGATCTCTAGAGGATGAGTGGGAGGGAGGAAGGGTGTCTCTAGAGTAGGGAGGGAGGGAGGAAGGATTCTCTAGAGGATGAGTGGAAGGAGGAAGGATCTCTAGAGGATGAGTGGGAGGGAGAAGGATTCTATAGAGGATGAGTGGGAGGAGGAAGGTGTCTCTAGAGGATGAGGGGATGGAGGAAGGATCTCTAGAGGATGAGGGAGGGAGGAAGGGTGTCTCTAGAGGATGAGGGGAGGGAGGAAGGATCTCTCAGGGGATGAGTGAGGAGAAGGGGTGTTCCTAGAGGATGAGTGGGAGGAGGAAGGATCTTCTAGAGGATGAGTGGAAGGGAGAAGTTTCTTCTAAATAATGAGGGAAGGGAGGAAGGATCTCTGAGGATGAGGGAGGAGGAAGGATCTCTAGAGGATGAGTGGAAGGAGGAAGGATCTCTATAGATGAGTGGGAGGGAGGAAGGATTCTCTAGAGGATGAGTGGAAGGGAGGAAGTTTTCTCTAGAGGATGAGTGGAAGGGAGGAAGGATCTCTAGAGGATGAGTGGAAGGAGAAGGATCTCATAGGATAAGTGGAAGGAGGAAGGATCTCTCTAGAGGATGAGTGAAGGGAGGAAGGATCTCTAGAGGATGAGTGGAAGGGAGGAAGGATCTCTCTAGGGATGAGAGGGAGGAGGGAGGGTGTCTCTAGAGGATGGTGGAAGGGAGGAAGGGCTCTCTAGAGTATGAGGAAGGAGGAAGGATCCTCTAGGGATGAGGAGGGAGGAAGGGTGTCTCTAGAGGATGAGTGGGAGGGTAAGGGTGTTCTCTGGAGGATGAGGGAGGGAGGAAGGATCTCTCTAGAGGATGAGTGGAAGGGAGGAAGGATCTCTCTAGGGGATGAGTGGGAGGGAGGAAGGATCTCTCTAGGGGATGAGTGGGAGGGAGGAAGGATCTCTCTAGAGGATGAGTGGGAGGGAGGAAGGGTGTCTCTGGAGGATGAGTGGGAGGAAGGGAGGCTCTCGCTGGAGGGTGAGTAGAAGAGAGGGAGGCCCTTGGCGGAGGTTGGGCGGTTGGGCGGGAGTATCCGTGGAGGCGGGTTGTAACGGAGTGGCCCCGAGGAGGAGGAGGAGGTGGTGGTGGTGGTGGTGGTGGCGGTGGCGGCGGCGGTGGCGGGCGTGAGGAACCATCGTATTATTACTGGTATAGCAACGAGGCTGTATAGTACCACCAGTAATGCACACAGTAAGCACATAAGTGGCGGCAGGAGGCACTGTTGGTGTACAGAGTCCTCGTACACAATACCGCTCGTCTTTAAGCCAACCACCTGGGCCAAGTCCTCCTCGCTCACCACCGTCGCCGCCTCCTCAAACAAAATGATACAAAACAAATAAAACAAAATTATCATAATTTTTATCCAACTAACCCAAATAAATGTGAATTTGGCCAATTGTCATAATTAACTGGTAAATTTGATGGGTGTTAATGGGATGACCCCTGACCTTTAACAGCCATCCCCTAGTCTGGCACCTGACAGGATTAGGGACCTGTTATTTGCCCCCCTTCGTCCTGGCAATCATATGTAACTTGCTGACTTAACTCACACGTTTTCAGGCTCTTGTGAGTACTCTCAAACCATAGAGATTTATATTGTACACCCAACGAGGAGGCTAGTTTATTGGGCATCCTCGCAACCTGAGCAAGACGAAGCACAGAAGCATTTACAGCGTGGCCAACAGGGAAGCGTGTGGTGCTGATGCTTGCTTTAGTGGCTCGTGTGTGGGGCTACCACGATTTTGGTCTCCCAGCAACAGGAGCTTAAGGGAAGGGGGGTGATGAGACACACACACTCACCTGCTACTGTAAGAACTAGTCAAAGTGAGCTGTATTATAATTGTGACTGTTTTCATCTGTTATTGTTGTGGGCTGAAATATACTAACTCTAGTTGGTGCAGTGTGTGTGTGTGTGTGTGTGTGTGTGTGTGTGTGTGTGTGTGTGTGTGTGTGTGTTGTAGGTGATTGTGCTGTATTGATGTTAGTATGAATGGTGATTGTTGTACTGGTGGTGGTGGTGGTATTAATAGTTATTATAGTAGTGGTGATCGTTGTAGTAGTGGCAGCAGCAGCAAGTGGCTAATTCTGACGACCTTACAGGAGCAGGAAAAGTGGAGGACATCAAAAAGTGGTGGGACCTGGTAACATCACAAATAGTATACCATCCAAATGCCAGCAAGTCCTTCCTCATTGTGAAGCCAGAACATTATGAACGGCCAATGGAGGTGTTTGGCGGAAGTGAGGTCAAAATAACAAAGGATGGCCAAAGACACCTAAGGGCGGTAATCGGCACGACGGACTTCAAGACCGAGAACGTAACGGGAAAGGTGAATGAGTGGGTTAGGGAAATCCAAGCTCTGTCTGAGATTGCTAACACAGTCACATGCGGCTTTTGCAACATTCACCCGTGGCATCAACCATCGCTGGAACTACCTGATGCGCACTATCCCTGATATCGGACCCCTCCTCCACCCTCTGTAAGAAGCTATTAGTGTCAATTTTATTCAAAAATTAGTGAAACACCTTCTCATAACCCCAGCAGAAAGATCACTCCTTGCACTACCACCGAGGCCGGGAGGAATGGGATTGACCTATCCAGAGGAGCTTGCTGGCACTGTACATTAGGGGAGAGGTGGTGGTGGTGGTTGGGGAGAGGTGGTGGTGGTGGTTGGGGAGAGGAGGGGCTGGGAGAGAGGTGGTGGCTAAAGAGGGGAGGTGGTGGTGGCTGGGGAGAGAGGTGGTGGTGGTTGGGGAGAGGAGGTGGTGGTGGTTGGGGAGAGGGGCTGGTGGTTGGGGAGAGGTGGTGGTGGTGGTTGGGGAGAGGAGGTGATGGTGGTTGGGGAGAGGAGGTGGTGGTGGTTGGGGAGGTAAGTGGTTAAATTGGGGAAAATTGGTACCATTGTATAGCAGAAACTTTCCCACTGTTAATATTATTATTTGTAGTAGTTGTAGTAGTAGTAGTGGTAGTAGTAGTAGCAATAGGAGTAGTAGTAGTAATAGGAGTCGTAGTAGTAGCAGTGCAAGAAAGGGGGCTTCATATGCATGAGGCATGACTAAGGGACCTCACAGTAAATATGTTTAAGGAAATTGCCGGGATGTGATGGTAGAACCGACCCTCCTTCCATTGGATGGTGAGATCTTCCAACATAGGACTTCAAACACATCCAACGAAGCCCGTGTGGACGTAGTGCTCGAGGATTCTGGACGCGGGGACAGCGAGCCTTCTTCGACATCAGGATTTTTGATCCCATGGCCGCATGTCACCGTAACCTAGCTCTCAATGCTGCACACAGGAGGAACGAGAACGACAAGATAAGGGCATATGGGGAGAGAATTCAGAACGTTGATCAAGGCAGCTTCACTCCTCTAGTGTTCACAACCTCTGGTGGGATGGGACCAAGTGCAAGATGTTTCTACGCCAGACTCGCGGAGGTGATCTCCGAACAGAAGCAGCAGCCCAGAAGTTACGTTACAGCCTGGATGAGATGTCGACTGTCTTTCTCTCTCCTTCGGTCGGCTTTGCTCTGCCTCAGGAGAACGAGAGCTTTTGCCTCAATCCCGACAACTGCTGCAGATATTGACTATGAGGCTACAGTCACTGAATGCCGCATAGATCTGCGGCTCAACTAACTCAACATAGATAGGATAGCTTGTTATGTATTAGGATATTTAATTTTAAGGTAATAAAATGGTGGCGAAGGTGTGGCTATTGGGGGAGGCTGGAGGCCATTTAAAAAAAATAAATAAAAGTAGTAGTAGTAGTAATAGGAGTAGTGGTAACAACCCAATTTTACTAATACAAAAATAACTACCCTAGCTGAGTTAGTTAAGCCGCAGATCTGTGTGTGTGTGTGTGTGTTGCCGGGGTGAGAGAGGAGGAGCAGTTCTCTATAGTGGTACTATGTATAGCTTGTGGCACTGGTGGGATGCCAACAGCCAACCGCCTACATTTTACTCCATCTTAACCTGAGAGTACGACCGTGGTGGAGGTATAGTGAGGGAGGAAAAGGGAGAGAGAAGGAGAGGGGAAGAAGGGGGAGGAAAAGGGAGAGAGGAGGGGGGAAGAAAGGAGAGAGAGGAAGTATAGAAAAGGGTTGAAATCCATTGTTTTAAGAAAGAAATGTGTGTGTCGTAGGTTGGCCACTGGTCAACACTGGACACACTGGACCCGTGTTTTACAGTGGCAAACTTGCCTTTCACCACCACCAACTACCATCACTATCTCTACCACATCCTTACCACCACCTACCACATCCCTACCACCACCTACCATCCCTACCACCACCTACCACCACCTACCACATCCCACCACCACCTACCACATCCCACCACCCCTACCACATCCATAAAGGAGGGAGGAAGGGAGTGAAAGGAAGGTATCAGAGCCAGGTGGTGTGTTGGCATTCTCATCATCAACCACCTGTGACTACTTCAGGATGGTGCTGCCACCACCTGGGCCAGCTGGTCCACCTGGCTTATTGTATCATGAACTATGTAATTACTACATTGAATCAGGAGTGTTTGAGGACATACTTAACGTTTATCCACAATTTGCTGCTGGTCCACACTGATTAGTCTTCAAATAGAACATGACTTATACTGTATATGAACCCCTGTCCTCTGTGGCAGTGAACAGTGATATCACCCACATGGCTCTGTACTCTAAGCCTTGTCAAGAAATTTGTTAAACTACGCGTGTGGGGAGAGTGGGGGTAGTATCATTATTGAGGAAGTGGGGAAGTAACGTCGTGTGTGGGAGAGTGGGGGGTAGCGTCATTATTATTAGAGAGAAAAGGAATGGAAACCGTGTGTGTGTGGGGGGGTAGAGAGTGCATTCTATTACCTACAGAAAGAGCCTTGATTGGCACTACTCTCTCTCTCTCTCTCTCTCTCTCTCTCTCTCTCTCTCTCTCTTACACACAACAATCCTCTCAATTTGTAGCTTTTTTTATTCTTAATTTTCAACCACGTCTCCTAATTTCTTTCTCCTCTTCCTCTTTCCTCCTCCTCCTCTTTCCTCTCTAATTTTCCTTTTTCTTTCTCTCCTTCTCATCTTCCCTCCACCATCGTCTTATTTTTTCCTCTCCTCCTTCCTCCCTCCCTCCCTCCCTCCTCTCCTCTTCCCTTCCACCCTCCTCCTCCCCTCCTCCTCCTCCCTCTTCCCCCTCCACCCCCCCTCCTCCTCCTCTTCCCCCCTCCACCTCCTCTTCCTCCTCCACCTCCTCTTCCCCCCCCTCCACCTCCTCTTCCCCCTCCTCCTCCTTTTCCCCCCACCTCCTCCTCCTCTTCCCCCCCTCTCCTCCTCCTCCTCCTCTTCCCCTCCTCCTCCCCTCTTCCCCTCCTCCTCCCTCCTCCTCCTCCTCTTCCCCCCCCTCCTCCTCCTCTTCCCCCTTACATCCTCTCATTCCTCCTCTTCCTTGCCCACAAAACAGGTGGATGGTAAAACACGATAAAACTGTAAATAGACGATTGTGATAACTGGAGGGAACACTGAGTAAGAGAGGTGACAAAATATAATAACAAACAAACAAACAAACAAACACAGTCCATAAAGTAAACAAGAACAGTATAAAGTAAACAAGAACAGTGCAACAAACACAGTACCTAAGAGACAAAACAAACACTGTGAGGTGAGAGGAACAAACACAATAACAAAAACAATAGAAATGTAAACAAAAGATAAGAGTGAAGTAATCTTTTTAATAACACAAATTAAATAAGACACACACACACACACACACACACACACACACACACACGTCAGTAGAAGTTGTCAAATCACCAGTTTCCGTCTCCACCTCCTCCGCCTGACTCAAATCCCTCAGGTTCGCACCAGAGCTCCTCAGTGTTACACAACATTCATACTTCCCAAGCTCACCTATGCACTCCCCACCTGGTCTTCCTCCTAAATGCTGCACAACGTAACACCTAGAAAAAAAGTGCAAGAGGGCATGCAAGATTATTCCTCTCTCCCCTTCTACTCACATATCAGAAGCGCTCAACACACTGACCCTTTCATTTCTCACTGACCATCACCACGACCTCATCTGCAAATTTGTGGTAGGCTTCTACACCATCCCCTCAAACACCGCTCCCTACTACCACCTGAGATCCCTAACCCGGGAAATTGCTGTTCGACACCACAACCGCATCCAGCCCATACGTGCGGGCAATCGCTATAAGAACAGCCCAGTCCCAACCATTGTAAAAATTATCAATAACTTGTAATAGACCAGTGTATTCACTTCCAGTAAACACTACTCCCTGCACTGTCACTATGTTGAAATGCACTATAGTTTGAGCTTTTCCCCATCTAGTTATTATATATCTTATTTATATCACTTATGTTACTTGTATATTATTTGTAATTCGAAACCCATTCCCCAAATATGTAACTGTATATTTTCAGCCTTCTGGCTGCCAAGTTCTTTTCAATAAACCGTTAATTATTATTATTATTATTACACACACACACACACACACACACACGCACACACGCACACACACACACACACACGCACACGCACACGCACACACACGACAGCGACCTACATGAAGAGGGGGTTAATAAACTCTAGCGTGTGTGTGTGTAGGAGAGAGAGAGAGAGAGAGAGATATAATATTTACCTGCAGGTGGCTGACCCCGCCCACTACCTGATTACACCTGGCTGTTATGGGTAATTACCTATGTCTGTATCTTTGTATGACTGCATGTATGTGTGTGTCTAATTGCATGTGTGTATGTACAGTATGTCTGATTTTCTGTGTAAGTGTGTGTATATGCTGGAATGTCGTGTGTGTGTGTGTGTGTGTGTGTGTGTGTATTAGTCATGTATGTGTGTGGCGCTGATTCATCTACAGGTGTGAGGTGGTGCAGGTGTATGACAGGTGTGGGGGAGAATGTGTGTACTGATAAGGCGTTGAAAGTCCACCTCTACCCTCCCCCACCTCATCTACCCCCCACCCCCTCTACCCCCTCACCTCCCCACCCCCCTCTCTGACCCCTCACCACCTTTCACCTTTCCTCCCTCCCTTCCCTCAGTTTATCTCGCTACTTCTCATGTCTTACTTTTACTCTCTCTCTCTCTTCCTCCCTCTCACCCTTTCCATCCTCCCCCTCTCTTACCTACTCCTCCTTCCTACCCTGTCCCTTCCTTTTCCTCCTCCTAACACATGTTCATCAATCACCACCTACACTTGTTCAATGTCGCCACACACACACACACACACACACACACACACACACACACACACACAGCCCAACCTAACCTAACCATACCATAGAGACAAGCATGATAATTATAACCCTTCTCTATGATAATCCCCCACCAACAACACCAGCAATAACAACAACAACACCACCACCAACAACACCAGCAATAACAACAACACCACTACCACCACCACCACCACCACCACCACCAACCTGTTATCAATTATCAGGTGATTTTTGTAAACATCACACCTGGTGACTCGCTCATAGACAATACGCCGCAGGGTGAGGTGAGGTGTATATACGAAGTGGTGGCCATGGTTACACTAAGAGGTGGTGGCCATGGTTACACTAAGAGGTGGTGGCCATGGTTACACTAAGAGGTGGTGGCCATGGTTACACTAAGATGTGTGGTAGGTGGCCATGGTTACACTAAGAAGGTGGTGGCCATGGTTACACTAAAATGGCCATGGTTACACCTTAGAGGTGTGGTGCAGGTTACACTAGAGGTGGTGGCCATGGTTGCACTAAGAGGTGGCCATGGATTTACTAAGAGGTGATGGCCATGGTTACACTTAGAGGTGGTGGCCATGGTTACACTAAGAGGTGGTATGGTTGCACTAAGAGGTGGTACATAAGAGGCCATGGTTACACTAAGAGGTGCCATGGTTACACTAGAAGAGTGGTGGCCATGGTTACACTAGAGGTGGTGGCCATGGTTACACTAAGGTGGTACATGGTTACACTAAGAGGTGGTGGCCATTTTACACTTAGAGTGGTAGCCATGGTTACTAAGAGGTGGTGGCCGTCATGCAAGTGTTAGCCATGGTTACACTAAGAGTGAGTGGCCATGGTTACACTAAGAGGGTGGTGGCGTGGTTTACTAAGAGTGGTGGCCATGGTTTACTACAGGTAAGAAGGTGGTGGCCATGGTTACACTAAGAGTGTGGTTAGTGGCCATGGTTACACTAAGAGGTGGTGGCCATGGTTACACTAAGTGGTGGTGGCCATGGTTACACTAGGTGATGGCCATGGGAGTGGTGGCCATGGTTACACTAAGAGGTGGGTGGCCATGGTTACACTAAGAAGGTAGTGGCCATGGTTACACTACACTCAAGTGAGGTGGTGGCCATGGTTACACTAAGAGGTGGTGGCCATGGTTACACTAAGAGGTGGTGGCCATGGTTACACTAAGAGGTGGTGGCCATGGTTACACTAAGAGGTAAATGGTAGGAAAAAGGTTAACAGTCTCTGACCTAAAACCTGTATGGTTAGGTTAGGTCATGAGGTCAGAGGTCATAAAGGAAGAATGGGAGGGAGGGGGAGGGGAGAAGGGAAGAGGAAGAGAGAGTGGAGGAGGAGAAGGAAGAGGAAGACAGAGAGAGAGAGAGGGAAGGAGGAGAGGAAGGGGGAAGAAGATAGGCAAGGAGGAGAAGAAAGAAGAGTAACGAAAGTGGTGGTGGGGGTAAACAACACACACCTGACCTTACCTGACCCTCGGCACAGGTGTTTGGAATAAAGGTGGAAGCAGGATAATATTGTTTAGCTTTTATAAATTGGTTATGTTATTATGAATGACGTGTATTAAAAGCTTTATTGTTATTTTGTCATTATTATTATTGTTGTGTTTCTTATTTTGTCATTATTATTTATTATTACTATTATTATTATCTTTATCATCACTATTATTATTGTTACTCTTATTATTTTATTATTGTTGTTGTTGTTGTTGTTGTTGTTGTTATTATTGTTGTTGGTGTTGTTGTTGTTGTTGTGGTTGTTGTTGTTGTTGTTGTTGTTGTTGTTGTTATTGTTTTTGTTGGTTATTGTTTTTGTTATTATTGTTGTTGTTGTTGTTGTTGTTGTTGTTGTTGTTGTTGTTGTTGGAGTGTTGTTGTTGTTGTTGTTGGTTAAGTTAAGGTTGTTGTTGTTGTTATTGTTGTTATTGTTGTTGTTGTTGTTGTTGTTGTTGTTGTTGTTGTTGTTGTTGTTGTTATTGTTTTTGTTGGTTATTGTTTTTGTTATTATTGTTGTTGTTGTTGTTGTTGTTATTATTGTTGTTATTGTTGTTGTTGTTGTTGTTGTTGTTGTTGTTGTTGTTAACCTGTGTAAAGTATCATTAAGGTAACGTTTTGCTTCACAGGTAAGTGGTGACCGTGGTGAGCTGTGTCGCCCTCAGCCCGTGTCCGTAAGTACAGATGACAAAGTGTAGTACCTGTCAATCCTCCATGTAACGGACAGTGAACCCTCCATGTAACGGACAGTGAACCCTCCATATAACGGACTGAATCCTCCATATAACGGACAGTGAACCCTCCATGTAACGGACTGAATCCTCCATATAACGGACAGTGAACCCTTTATATAACGGAGTGAACCCTTTATATAACGGACTGACCCTCCATATAACGGACAGTGAACCCTCTATAACGGACAGGAAAACCTGCATATAATGAACTCTGTATAATCTGTGCTGGTGGAGGTTACACAGCTAACGGACACCTCGATATAACGGACAACTTTTCACCTCTACTTTCTTAGGTTGAGGTTTCACATCCTGTCATGGCCGCACCGAACTGTCCCCTGTCATGGCCACATTAAACTGTTCCCTGTCATGGCCGCACCGAACTGTCCCCTGTCATGGCCACATTAAACTGTTCCCTGTCATGGCCGCACCGAACTGCCCCCTGTCATGGCCACATTAAACTGCCCCCTGTCATGGCCACATTAAACTGCCCCCTGTCATGGCCACGTCTGTTTTTGCCATGGCCACATCTATATGTCCCGTCGTGGCCACGTCTGTTTCCTGTCATGGCCATGTCTAGTATCATGGTCACATAACTGTTTCCTGTCATGGCCACATCTGTTTCCTGTAATGGCCATGTCTAGTATCATGGTCACATGTAACTGTTTCATGTCATGGCCACATCTGTTTCCTGTCATGGCCATGTCTAGTATCATGGTCACATGTAACTGTTTCCTGTCATGGCCATGTCTAGTATCATGGTCACATAACTGTTTCCTGTCATGGCCATGTCGGTTTCTAATCACGGTCAGGTGTGGACGAACGCTGACAACGTAAGTACATTTTAGAGGTAAATCAAACACGTATTAGACAGAACTGAACTGGGAGCCGCCGTTCCTCCCACTCTGCCTCAGTCAACACCAGTCCCGTCCACTAGTCCACACTGTAACACTTGCATCTCACTATTTGTGTTGTGTACTGCTGTTTATTCGAGTGTTTTTCGGATTTTATCGTCGCCAACACCTACAGCAACAAGTACCTGTGTAGTGAGTATATGTGTGTTAGTGTATTTCAGAGTTTGTGTGAATAAAGTATTGGTGGGTAGGCTATGAGGTACACCGCTGCCAGCCGTACGAGATTTTCACTACCATGTTTTAATTAATGCTTCACAGATGTTATTTAACTTTCAATTGTTAGTTATTTCAGTGTATAATTTAGTGATTGACGAAGTGTGTTATATATGACGTAAATAACTCAGGTCTGCAGTGTGTTGCATCATGATTCAGTTGACAATTATGTCCAAGGGAGATCTAGTATAATAATTTTACCTTTATGTGTGTTTATAGATTATTTGGGACTCATAATAACGTTATGATTATTCAGGTTTAAATATAGTGTGTTAGAATATAGTTATACATAGTTTTTATTGAATTTACGATATGTTTCTTGGAACTTGTACGATGCCGTGTGACTCTTAGGGGAGACTGGCATAAAGCGGATCGAGAAACCTCTGTGTTAATTTATCTATTATAAAAATCTTCCTACTGAATTAAATACGCGTGAATAATATAGTGAACTAAATATGTATAATTAATAGAGGTAAATACTAAAGAGGTGGTTGGCAGAAGTTCGGATAACCTTACTGGAGCAACATGAGCCATATGGGCAGTCTTGGGAACTTACCACGAACAGGGCTGCTTAAACGTTATTGCTATTATTTAATCAAGTAACTAATATATAACGTAATTCAACTACACAATGGTTAACAGAATATACCAAAATTAAATGTTGATAAATTATTTGAAGATAAAGTGAAGTGCTTTGTTTTCAGTTGAGTTTATAGATATGGAAGTTGATAGTAACTGTGTATAGATGATAACAGCAATATATAGTTATTATTATTAGAGGTATTAGTAGTAGAATTATTATCATCATCATCATCGTCATCATCATCATCATCATCATCATCATCATCATCATCCGGCCTCTTAGTTACTTACCGACTCGTAATATATTTTTGCTTCTGACGTGCTTATAATTAAATCGTGTAGCTGAAATAATGAATAATGTGAATCTTAGAATAATTATTTACGCATAAAGTTAAGAAAGAGTTAACGTTATACCTGATTCATTATACCTGTACTTACTCTTGAACACCAGTATGAGAACGAAATGAACAGGTTGATTCACTAAAGGTTCACTCGTTCGTTATAAAGAGATTCGCTGCTCCGTTGTGTGTCATTATGTTGAGTTGGCCAGTTAAAAGGTTCCCCACGCACATATTAATTCACCTGTTAAGTATTTAAATAACACTACCTTACCTAACCTAAGCTAACCTAACCTAACCTAACCTCACCTCACCTCACCTCACCTCACCTACGTTAACCTAACCTTGTTCATTTGTTGTGTACAGTACTTTGGCAGTTCTATATCTCCGTCAGGTACCTCATGACACGAGTGAGTCCTGCCTGAAGAGAACCTGTATCTGTATCTGTAGGGAAAGAGAGAGAGAGAGAGGTTGGTCAAAGGGCCATTACACCACCATCGCCGTCCCGGACTCCTGCCCCATTTCGCCTGTGTCAACTAAATGGGGTCAAAGAACAGTACCCCGAGAGTGATACAAGAATCGTTACAAAGGGATACTAGACCGCCTGAACCACCACCTCCAACATTACCACCACCTCCAACATTACCACCACCACTACGTCCAACATTACCACCACCATCTCCAATAACACCACCACCTCCAACATTACCACCACCACTACATCCAACATTACCAGCACCACCTCCAACATCACCACTACGTCCAACATTACCACCACCACCTCCAACATCACCACTACGTCCAACATTACCACCACCACCTCCAACATCACCACTACGTCCAACATTACCACCACCACCTCCAACATCACCACTACGTCCAACATTACCACCACCACCTCCAACATCACCACTACGTCCAACATTACCACCACCACCTCTAACATCACCACTACGTCCAACATTACCACCACCACCTCTAACATCACCACTACTACCTCCAACAACACATCCCCGAAGGAACGATGGTCGTGTGGATACCCCTTTCAGCCCTCTCAGCCCTCTCACCCCTCTCACTCGACCATTACACACTGTAGTTGCCATTGGTGTGGATAACGTGTCCTATGCTATTAAATCAAACCAGAATGTTAAAGGAGAGAGGGAGAAGCAAAATGTTGGAGAAGAGAGGGAGAAGCAGAATGTTGGAGGAACTGGAGGTACTCTTACACTCGGTAGTTCACTGGAAGCTGGAATACCAAACATGGAAGCTGGAATACCAATGATGGAAGCTGGAATACCAATGATGGAAGCTGGAATACCAAACATGGAAGCTGGAATACCAAACATGGAAGCTGGAATACCAAACATGGAAGCTGGAATACCAAACATGGAAGCTGGAATACCAAACATGGAAGCTGGAATACCAAACATGGAAGCTGGAATACCAAACATGGAAGCTGGAATACCAAACATGGAAGCTGGAATACCAAACATGGAAGCTGGAATACCAAACATGGAAGCTGGAATACCAATGATGGAAGCTGGAATACCAAACATGGAAGCTGGAATACCAAACATGGAAGCTGGAATACCAATGATGGAAGCTGGAATACCAAACATGGAAGCTGGAATACCAAACATGGAAGCTGGAATACCAAACATGGAAGCTGGAATACCAAACATGGAAGCTGGAATACCCAATATAACTGAGAGCCAACAATATCACAACCTTGGGAAGAAGGCAGACGACAACACAACCACAAATTCTGGTGCAGATAGAAATTCAGAGGAGGAGGAGAAGAAGAAGAAGAGAGAGAAGGAAAAAGAAGATAATGATTCCAAACGTCACGTATCTATGGACAACACGAATCATCATCATCATCAAATCTTTCTACCTCGTCAAGAAAATGCTACTGATAAGGAAGGCGATACTAACAAGACCTCTGACAGATCAGCACAGACTGTAGTGGTTGAAGATACGACAGTAAATGGTAAGTGATGTAGTGTGGCTTCATCATTCTCATTGTAATGTATATACCTCATTCTATTCATACATGGTGGCTCATTCTGTTCATATATCGATCTCACTCATTATACATGGATCTCACTCATTATACATAGATCTCACTCATTATACATAGATCTCACTCATTATACATGGATCTCACTCATTATACATAGATCTCACTCATTATACATAGATCTCACTCATTATACATAGATCTCACTCATTATACATGGATCTACACTCATTATACATAGGTCTCACTCATTATACATAGATCTCATTATATATAAATCTACACTTATTATACATAGATCTCACTCATTATACATAGATCTCTCATACATAGATCTCACTCATTATACATAGATCTCACTCATACATGGATCTCACTCATTATACATAGATCTCACTCATACATGGATCTACACTCATTATACTTTTGTATTCACTCTCTTGAAATATTCCTTCACTAAGTTAGTATAATGGTAAAGTGAATGAAGTACATTTGATTCTTTTTTTCTTTTCAGTGAATGAAGTATTAGTAAGGAAGGCAGAGGATGTGGGTTCCAAACTCCTCCCGAGAAATTGTGGAGTGTGTTTACCAATTGAGTGTGAAGATCGAGAAGAAAATAATGGTGGCTTAAGAAAGGTATCTGTGGAAGATCAGGGAGGTGTGTTCAGCTATGGAGGATCAGCTAATGGTGGCTTAAGAAAGGTATCTGTGGAAGATCAGGGAGGTGTGTTCAGCTATGGAGGATCAGCTAATGGTGGCTTAAGAAAGGTATCTGTGGAAGATCAGGAGGTGTGTTCAGCCATGGAGGATCAGCTAATGGTGGCTTAAGAAAGGTATCTGTGGAAGATCAGGGAGGTGTGTTCAGCTATGGAGGATCAGCTAATGCATCGGAAGGGGGAAGTCCACGGGGAGATTTAAAGTTAATATACCAGACTTTTAGATCAGAGGAGAATGTGAAGGTGAATGTTAGGGAGAAGGAAGAGAATGTGAAGGTGAATGTTAGGGAGAAGGAAGAGAATGTGAAGGTGAATGTTAGGGAGAAGGAAGAGAATGTGAAGGTGAATGTTAGGGAGAAGGAAGAGAATGTGAAGGTGAATGTTAGGGAGAAGGAAGAGAATGTGAAGGTGAATGTTAGGGAGAAGGAAGAGAATGTGAAGGTGAATGTTAGGGAGAAGGAAAAGAATGTGAAGGTGAATGTTAGGGAGAAGGAAAAGAATGTGAAGGTGAATGTTAGAGTGAAGACAGGAACGAAAACATTGGTATATGCAAAGTTTGCTGAAACGCTCCAGAAGGACGTTAATATATTTGGTTACATTTTGAATCGTTTGCCGCCAAGTATGGAGTTTACGCTGGAAGGGAAAGCTATTGAACACAGTACAGGGAATACCATCGTAACACTACAGTGCAAGAGTAAGCGTATTGCCCAGAGCCTAAAGACTGAACTCCACAAAGGAAATCGCATCTCGGAAACAAAAGTCTGGTGCTTTGATACCCTAATGGAAGCAACAGGACTTAACATGAGAAGACAAGATGATATTGAGAGTTTATATGAAAACTATGTCCAACAAATTTCTAAAAGAGCAGAATCTGCCCTAGAGGAGCACTATAGTAAGTTGTTTGCCGTTGAATCTCGGTTACAAGTTCTTGAGAAGAAGAAATCAAAATTCATATCTTTTGCTGACTATGTGTCACTGCGTAGTGAAAGAGATGCTCTGGAAGATAAGGAAAAAGAATTAAATTTACAAAAAGATGAATTTTTAAAGTGTCACAAAAATACACTATGTGAACTCTTTGAAGCAAAGGAGTCCATAAATTTTGAGAAATGTGCAACAGACATCCGACTCAAACTGGCCATTGAGTGCAACAGACTTAAAAGTGCATTTCCAATTTATGCGAGACGCTCTGATATTGTAGACACTGTGAAAAGTAATCAAGTATCGGTTATTATTGGAGAAACTGGCTCAGGAAAAAGCACTCAGATAGCACCATTTTTGTGTCAAGCAGGCTTAGCCGAAGGTGGAATGATCGCATGTACACAACCCCGTAAGATTGCAGCTACTAGCTTGGCAACACATGTGGCCAAGGAATTGGGAACACCAATAGGACAAGTTGTGGGCTATAAAGTAGGAATGCAGACTAAGAAATCAAATATAACAAAAGTTTTATACTTGACAGATCATGTCCTGTTGAATGAATGTTTGCAAGATCGGAAGCTTTCTGCCTTTTCTTGCATCATCATTGATGAAGCACATGAACGCAGTATCTACACAGATCTTTTACTTGGAATGATCAAAGAGTGTCTACAGGCTAGACCAGATCTTCGTCTGGTGATCACCTCTGCTACCATCAACCCAGAAATATTTGTTAAGTATTTTAAACAGTGTCCTGTGTTGTCTGTGTCGGGTCGAATGTTTCCAGTAGAGGTAGAATGGAAAGAAATGATGGAAGACCTCGCCTTTAACAATTATCAAGAAGAAGCTTTAGGTAAAGCTATTGAAGTTCATGAGTCAGAGGAACAAGGGGATATATTGGTGTTTCTTACATCACCTTTAGAAACTGAAAAGTGTTGTGGAAGATTTCAAAACTTGATGAGAGGCAGACCTGTGAATTATGTCACATTTCAGCTACATGGTCGGTTGCAGGGTGACGAACAACAAAAAGTGTTCGACCCGGCTCCTGGCGGTAAACGGAAAATTGTCTTTGCCACAAATTGTGCTGAAACCTCTGTCACCATTCCCGGAATTAAGTATGTTATCGACACTGGTCTAGTAAAAGAAATGAGGTTTGATCCAGTGAGTAAGATGAGTACCCTGGCAGTGACTATGGTAACACAGAGCTCAGCTAAGCAAAGACAAGGCCGTGCAGGTCGATTAGGCCCTGGTAAGTGTTACAGGTTGTATACTGAGGATGACTTTAATAAGATGAATCCAGACACAGTTCCTGAAATACTCCGTGTTCATATTGGTCATGCCTTGTTAAAGCTGATGGAACTAGGTGTTGATCCAATGGAATTTGACTATATCCAGTCACCTTCAGTTGCTGCAATGGAAGAAGCCCATGCATCCCTGCTACACATCGGTGCAGTGTCGGGAAAGAAAATTACAGAACTTGGGAAGTGGATAGCCAAGATGCCTTTTGATCCAAAGTATGGTGCTTTTGTTTACGAGGCGATCCAAGATGGAGCTGGAGTGGAAGCCATAGTTGTAGCAGCAGCAAGTGGGACAAGTTCAGTGTTTTATAGAGCAGGAACAAATGAGGAAAAGGAAAAAGCTGACAAACATAAGATTAGATTTTGTCATGAAGGAGGTGATCAGCTCACTCTGTTGAATGTATTTAGAGAATGGCATAAAGTACCTGAAATACAAAAGGGAAGGTGGTGTGCTCGTCACTACATCAATGGTAAGTCAATAAAAGGTATTCGTGAAACAACTAATGAAGTTTTACATACAATAAAGAATGAAATGAAAAAAGACATTAAATTCTCATTCAGTGAACCAGAAACTGTGGATTGCCTGTTGATAGGTCTTTTACTCAAGTCATTAAAATTAAACTTGAGTCATTATCTGGGACATGCCAAGGCAGGATACAACATTGTGGGGAAGGAACAGAGGGTTGAGGTTCATCCATCCTCATCATTGTTTGCTTTAGGCTCTCACCCAGAGTGGATTGCATTTGATCAGGTTATGAGAACTTCCAGAGATTTTGCAATGCAAGTGACACCCGTTTCTGAAACTTTAATTATGAAGGGAATCGCTGATGGATGGCTTCAGCTGCAGCTTGAAGAGGCAAAGAAGAAACGGATTATTGTAGTATCTCGGGAATGTGTAGGAAGACAGCTGTTCAGAGAATTTGTTGGACCCCGTTATGTTGACTTGAGAAACTTCGAGACAGATTTAGTGGCAAAATTTCCAAATTCTGTCGTGGTAGTTGAAGCAGATTGGGATCAAGGAGAAGTGAGAGTTTTATCAAATGAGAGAAATAAGGAAGATCTCTCTGGTAGGCTGCCACAAATTCTTGCTCCGTTGAAAGCAAATTTCATGGCAGAAGAAAGTGAGGAACGTATTGGACCTAAGTCAATGGATGTGTCTGTGAGAGCTGTTGTTGGTGCCGGAGGTTGTATGCATAATGTCTTTATGCCAGAGGAGTTCAGAATAGTCAAGATTCATTGTACTAGAAAAATACTGGAAGAATTATCAAAAGAAACTGTATTACAAAATTTTGGCCAGTATGGAAAGATACTAGAATGTAAAAAATACTACCATAAGATAAAGTCGCCAACTATTTGGGGACAAATCACATTTGAGAAAACTGAATCTGCAGTTAAAGCCGTCAGAGAAACCAAAGGTGAACCTGATTTCTGTGCTCATCCAAGTGTTCGCCTTCCACAACATGGAATAGATGGTTTCAGGACGAAGATTCATTGGTGCAGAAGACGTTCCAAAGGGTTTGGGTTTGTAGAGTTTGTCAATGTAGAGGATTGTTTTGCAGCTCAAAGACAGTTTAACTTTCATGTTGGTGGTTTACCTGTAAGAATAAAATGTGCCAGAAACTCTCGCACCGGTATACATGTTGCAGGATTGGGACAACTTGTGACCGAAGATGTTTTACGCCAAGCATTTGCTCAAACACTGGGCATTGATTATGAAAAAGACATACAGAAAGTTACTGTGATTAGAGAGAAGGTGAACTTAGATGAAGAAATGCTGCGCACCTTCAAGAGACGCCTCCAAAGAAGCATTGAGGAATTTGCTAAACCTGGCACATTTCACCTGGAAGTAAAGGAGCCACGATCAGATAGGGATGTGAACTTTATAGCCTTTTGTGCCTTTAATAATCCTGAAGAGGGTCATCGTGCATGCACTGTGATAAACAGAGATTTTTGTTTGAATAATGAGAAAGTTTTTATGAAGGCTGATCTTTATAGTTCTGTGTTTATCCGTAAAGACGTCTTCAAGAAAATTGGGGATGAAGTTACGAGGCAAATTCAGTCGATGGAAAATGTCAATAGAGAAGTGAGGTTGAAATTGAGGCATTTGAAAAGTGAGAGTGTGGTAGTGGACTTGCACTCGGAGAATGTTGATTCCCTCTCTCAAACTCAGGAGGCGATTCAGAAGGTCATCAGAGGAGAAGTTATTGACTGCGAGAATCATCAAGCAGCTCGGTCCCTGTTCACACGAGATGGAAGGAATATGCTTCAAACTATAATGAACAAGACAGAAACTCTAATAGTTCCCGATGACAGAGTAATGACAGTGGCCATTCATGGCTCGCCAGAAAACAAGCAGATTGCAAGGATTCAAATAGATGCATACTTGCAACAACTTTCTCAAGGAATTTCCAAAGATGTGGAGTTGAAAGGCAATGGGAAGCCTTCAGGAGTCCTGAAAGCATTGATACTGAAATATGGACTTGATCTTAATGGCATGCAGACTGAAGCAAACCTTTCAGCTGTTAGTTTAGATCTCAGGAATCATAGGTTAAGAGTTCAGGGACCAGAGATGGCCATCACCAAAGCAGTTGATATGGTGAACCAAATGATAACAAATCTGGCAGCCAACAGTGTAGTGAGTCAGAGCCAAGATGACCTGGACTGTGTGACTTGTTTCTGTCCTATTGAATTAGAGGATCTTTACAGACTGGAATGTTGCGGACATTCGTATTGTAAGGAATGTATAAAACTCCAGATGGATACTGCCATCGCCGGGAAAGAGTTTCCTATTGTATGTGGAGAAGAGAAATGTACATCAAAGTTTGTCTGGAGGGACTTTGTTAATCTCTCCCGCCAAGGACACATCTCGATGGCCAGACTTGTGGCAGCCTCTCTCGGTACATTTGTCTCTCAGCATAAGGATGAGTACCACTATTGTACGACTCCAGATTGCCCTACTGTGTATAGGGTAACGCAGGAAGGAGTTCCATTTATGTGTCCAGAATGCAGTACCAAGATCTGTACCAAGTGTCACGTTCAGTATCACGATGGGCTCTCCTGCACCATGTATAAGAGTATGAAGGAAGATGATGGTAGCCTAACGTTATGGTTAATGCAGGATAAAAATAACAGAAAACTGTGTCCCAACTGTTCTACGGCCATTGAGAAAATTGCTGGGTGTAATAAAATGCTTTGTGGTGGATGTAAAAAATGCCTATGTTGGGTATGTATGCAAATATTTAACACGGAACAGGAATGCTATGGACATTTACAAAGAGTACATGGTAGCTTTCATTGAAGTGGGTATTCCAAGTACAATGTATCGATGTCTCTATAATATAATTACTGTAGAAGGTAAAAAAAAAAATAATCATATTATTCTTAACACAAATAGTTGTTGGGAACTCTTAATAAAGTGAAAGAAGCTATGGTTGTATGTCTGTCTCATGTTGAACTGTTAACTCCTCAGATTGTAGATACAGTGCAGTTGGTGTGAATGTTAACACTTTTATTTTTTTTTAACTTTCCTGTTGGGCTTTGGGAAAATCTTTAAGAATGACCCAGACGAGAACAGAGTGTAAATTGACATTAAGAAAGAACAGGATATTGTACAGGTAGTCTAGATCAGGTAATGTTGACCAGGTGTAGAAAATTTAGCTTTACAAAAGTTAGTGATATATATTGTACTGTTGTGTGTGTGAGCTTTTAGTTAACTTCTTTAAGACTTATGTTTAGAAAAAAAAATCCACAATTTTATAATAATTTAACACTGATAATGTAAGGATATTGGGTCATAGGTTAACTTTTGGTGTCCTCGGTGACAAGTGATGACCACCGTTATTTGTGTGGGTGTTATTCCAGTTTCTACTGAAGATATGAGTAGTACAGTATATTGATGATGTGAAGATATGAGTAGTACAGTATATTGATGATGTGAAGATATGATAAGTACAGTATATTGATGATGTGAAGATATGAGTAGTACAGTATATTGATGATGTGAAGATATGAGTAGTACAGTATATTGATGATGTGAAGATATGATACGTACAGTACAGTATATTGATGATGTGAAGATATGATAAGTACAGTATATTGATGATGTGAAGATATGAGTAGTACAGTACTGTATATTGATGATGTGAAGATATGAGTAGTACAGTATATTGATGTGAAGATATGATAAGTACAGTACAGTATATTGATGTTAAAATTGGGCATATTAATGTATAAACAGGTACAGTATTTAACATGTGGACATTAATACACACAATACAGTACTACAGGTGTTAGTGCTGTATTTTAACCCTTTATGTGTTACAGGAAATAGATTATTACTACAATTGTACAGGTTACAGTAGAGGATTTTGTTGTATATTTGATTAATCTTGAGATACAAAGAGAAGTTAGAGTTTTACCTTCTTAAAATATATTGACATTGTTTGTATAAAAGGACCTGGATTCTCTTGTCTAATACATTACTGAATTTTTTTTATAATACAATGATGATGTTGAGCCAGTGTTATGTTTATTTTGTATATACAGTTAAGAAGAAAAAACTAAAAATTAATTTCTTGAACCTGAATATTAAGTAATGAGTGATGCCCATTTGTTTATTTATATGTTTTATTTTTGTGGATTGTTTTTAATTACAATTTAACATGATTATAGTTTATTGAAATATTAATAGCTAGTGATCATTGTTACTGTAATTGATATATTGTACTTTATATTAATAACAGCCGAGATATATTACTTGTCTTTTCCTTACTTAGAGTTCATGTATAAATGTGTCAGTTTCTACAAGGTAAATCTCATGAACTAGAAGTAAATCCACATATTATAAACCATTGATTAAAACTTAACTAAAATCGGCACTTATGTAAACCTGAAAATCATGCCAAGTATGTAAATCCAATACCAATTTAAACTAATTTCAGTAAACCCAGTAGTAATTTAGTATACTGTTCAGGTAAACTTGTCAAACTATGCAAGTAAATAGAAGTTATCAAACATTGGTGATAAAAGTATGTGTGGGAGTGGGTACATAGCTTCATGACAACCTTAGTATGCATAATTGGAAAGTTGTGTTTGTGTGTGGTTGGTTATGAACATGTGGGTATATATGTGTATGGGGGTGTGGGTGAGTGAGTGAGTGAGCGTGTTAATGTGCTCTTGCGTGCATGTGTGTGTGTGTGAACGAGGGTGTCAGTGACCCCAGGAGGCCAGTGTTGCGTACCCTAACACCGCCTCCTTCCCTGATATCTCCCCTGAATCACCTGATGATAAGCCACCCAGTTTATTTCACCGGATGATTAAACACCCAGTTTATTTCACCGGATGATTAAACACCCGTGAGCTATCTATTGGGGTTAAGTTAGGTTAGCTTAAGTAATGTAAGTGTGAGGTTAGGTTATGTAATGTAAGTGTGAGGTTAGGTTAGCTTAAATTATGTAAGCACTTAGGTTAGCTTATGTTATGGAAGTGTTAAGTTAGGTTAGCTTAAGTGACATTAGCATTAGTGTTTTTAATCATAAGATGAAGAAATAAGCTGGGGTGGTTAATCTTTAGGTGATCCTTTTTCCAAATTCTATCATTGTTTACGTCGCTTGAACAACAAATTATAATTATTCTCAGTGATTTGCGAATCATGTGAAGATCAAGCACCCTAACTCATGTGCAGGACTGTGTGGCCATTTATATTATAGTGTCACGATTCATTGTACAAGTATACATGTATTGACTCACCCATGTTAATATTGTTATTATTATTCACTCTTGCATCTGTATTTTTCAGCCTAAATAAACTGTTTCAATATCAGTATCTATAATACCTATTTTTTACGGATTATTCCACCATGAGTTGCAGATCAATGACCCACATCAGGGCCTTGGGGGCGAACTATAATAATAAAGAACCATAAAAAAGATCCAAAGTTAGAAACAATATATGTATGTTGTGTTGTCAATAGTAAGAGAAACAATTGAGACCCTGAAATTGTGTGTAAATGAAGCAGAAAGTCAGATCATCATCAACCTGGGACTTGGTCACATATGGCAGCAGGGTCTACCATTAGTCAACACATTATAAGCTTTCCAATATCTTCCCAGTACCTCCCTGTTTGATACCTAATTCTACCCTAACAGTGCTAACTAAAGGTAATATTTCCCGAGAGTATTTACAATAAATATTAATTCTATCCTTGTTCCTCCATTTTATTTATTACCCTCACGTAAAACTTATACCACACACTTAAAGAGGTGAGCTGAGTGTGTGTATAAGGTTTAATAGCCTTGTTTGGCTAATTTATTGAAGTCTGTAGGTGGTAGACAGGAGAGGTAAGAGGATGGCGCTAGGTCACCTGAGGATTAATTAGTAGACCCAGGTGGTTGGGGGTAGGTGACCACCCTGTGTATACGGTAACTAGCTTGTGTGTTGCGGGGGCTCATGACTCCTTGACCTGCTCCATTGGAGGTGGAGATAGATGTGGACCTGCTATTGTTTATTATTGTGGCATTGTTCACTCCTTCTCTCTCTTCCTCCTTCTTTTCCTTCCTCTAATTTATACTGACAGCTCTGTCCTGTTCCAGCCCATGTTAAATAAGTTTCCTCCCTATCATATTAATGTATATCAACTCCACTGTAAAATATGTATATACTTATAAATGTCAAAATTAATTAATAAATATTGGAAGTGATAACCGTGGTAACATTATGAGATGCTCTCCTTATTACCACCATACATGTAATTATTCCAGATGATACTAATGTTGCTATTACTAATACTTCCCTTGAGATAAATGTGTATATATCAGGCAGCAGCTCAGGTTCTCCTCAACTGGCTCAGCCATACATTATTGTTATTATCCACTATGTATCTGTGTTCTTAACGCTAAATAAACTGTTTATATAGCACTATCTCATCCCTCCCTTGGTACTTAAGCTCCCCATTGTTTTGCTGTTATGATCGTTCTTTGAGTGTTCTTGTTCATACTGCTCCTTGGCTGTTCTTTGATGTTGTTGTTCTTCGCTGTTGTTGTTTTTATCTGTTATTCGACACTCCTCGATATGTTGGGGTAAGGTAGGTGGGGAGGAGAGGGAGGGTAAGGTAGGTGGGGAGGAGAGGGAGGGTAAGACTCTAGGAAGGAGGGACAGAGACAGTTTTTTCCCATAAACTAATTAAAGGTGTTTGTGTTTCAGGTGAGTGTTGGGCCGCGGTGAGCAGTGATGGTGTTGGTGAGTATTGTCCTAACACCTGTTAATTAGTACAGGTGTGAGAGCCTCACACCTGTCCTATTACTATTATTATCGTTGTTGTCTTTGTTAAGGTGTGGGGTAATTGGATGAACCGTGCAGTAGTATGTGTGTGGCAACTACTTACATTGGTGTGAGTAACATTACGACTGACTGACTGTATGGTACTGGAAGTGACTATATGTGTATGAGATAGTAACTGGGTACAGACAGTAACTGTGTGTGTGTGTAGGAGACAGTGACCGCGACAGTAACGTGGAGGAGGAGGACCTGTCTGAAGGAGGACACCTGTGCCAGCGTGTAGAGTTGCCGAGTAGCGCGCGCGCACACACACACACACACACACTACTATCGTGATAGATGATGACGTCACCTGTAGTTACCATGATGCATCCTGGGAGACATACTAGTAAGCATGAAGCCCCGATAAAGGCTCAACAGGTAAACAGTGATTCTGGCAGGTTGGTGTACAGGTTACCTATCACTAAACGTCCGGGTTGAGTCCTCAAATAGGCTTCAGAACATGTTGGTAGAATGAGGCCGTGTAAACTTTTCAAATACGGTAGGTTTATTCCCTCTCAAAGCTTTAAATCAGATTAAAGCTTTTTTGCACAGAGGGTTCAGTAATTAATATGGTCTGATGTAATATATCACAGTGTGTGTGTACAGTTGTCTGGGGGGGAGGCTGTCATGCTCAGGGGGGATATAGCTCTTGAAGAACAGGCATTTAGCAGGTGTGTGGGGGGGGTCAGCTGATAGACCAGGTGTAAAGATTAAGTCGGGAATAATTAACACACCTCACCTGTATTCCTCCTCCTCCTCCTCCTTCCTCCTCCTTCCTCCTTCCTCCTCCTCCTTCCTTCTCCTCCTCCCCACTACTGTCCCCTCCACCACCCTCCAGGTACGGTAGGTCTGTCACTGGTACATGGAGAGAGAGAGAGAGGGAGGGAGGGAGACAGGAGAGAGAGAGGAGAGGAGGGAGGGAGACAGAGAGAGGGGAGGAGACAGACAGAGAGAGAGAGGGAGGGAGACACAGACAGACAGAGAGAGAGAGAGAGAGAGAGAGAGGGAGGGAGACAGAGAGAGAGAGAGAGAGACAGAGGGAGGGAGGAGACAGAGAGAGAG